GGCCGCGGCCGGCCCTGGGCAGCACCCATCGCTGAGCACAGTGTCCCCTTTTCCTCCCTCTAGTGGGCCTCAACCAGTTCTCGGACCTGACCTTCGCGGAGTTCAAAAAGCTCTACCTGTGGAGTGAGCCGCAGGTAAATGCTGGCTGGGCAGGGAAGGAGGGGGTCCAGTGCACCTGTGAGAGGGTTCTGTAGCGATCTGTACCCTTGTGAGGGGGTTCTGCAGTGACCTGCACCATGTGAGGGGGTTCTGCATGACCCACACCCGCTGCTGGGCCAGCACCCCTCGCTGTGCTGCCTGCAGTCTGCTGTGATCAGGTCACATCCTGTGCTACCAGCACTGGGCAAGAGCCAGGTCAACCCTGTTCCCCACCTTCATGGCTTTTAGTGCCTTGCCCCTGACTCCAGCCCAGCTGGAGAGCTGCTGTTCTGCTGGCAGCTCCCTGCGCAGCCGGGGCACTGCAGCCAGGGCTGTAGGGGTGCAGGCTGGCAGTGCTCCCTGCTGCAGTGGCCAGGGTGTGGGCTGGTCACCAGCCCTCACCCGGGCAGGGTGGCTGTCGTGGCCCACTGGCCTGGCGGCTCACCACAGCCCTCCTGCCCCACCTGCAGAACTGCTCAGCCACCAAGGGGAACCTCCTGCGCAGCTCTGGGCCTCATCCCGACTCCATTGACTGGAGGAAGAAGGGGAATTTCGTGACACCCGTGAAAAACCAGGTGAGGGGAGTGTGACATGGCCAGAGGGGGCTGATGGCTGCGGGCAGGCGCCGTGCCCGAGGAGCAGGGCTGGGTGCCTGTGCCAGGGGAGCTCCTCCAGAGCTGTGCCATGCCTGGGGCTGAGCCGAAGGCCAGGCCCAGCTGCCAGCACGGAGTGGAGGCTCTGCACTGCTGCCATGTCCCCCTGCCTGTGTTTTGGGGAGCCTGGTGAGCCTGCAGCACCTCCTGGAGCAGTTCCTCTCCTGTTCCTCATGTAGGGTCCCTGCGGGAGCTGCTGGACCTTTTCCACCACGGGCTGTTTGGAGTCTGCTATTGCCATTGCCACGGGAAAGCTGCTCTCTCTGGTGAGAGGTGTTCAGAGCCCTTTGGGGAGCAGGATGTGTCAGAGGGGCTGGAGGCTGCTGGGAAAGGTGTGGGGACAGAAGCTGTGCCTGGCCCTGCCTGCCAGCCTCACTGCAGGCAGCACATTGGGACATGTTGGTTTTTCAGCTCCGGGAGGATTTATATTCCTGAAGAACTAGAAAGACAGTAGCCACTTACACAACTTAGCAGAATAACTGAGGGCTGGGTGTGTTAAAAACATACCTGACCTTTGGAAAACATCTCAGCCAGTGCTTCTGGGGCATGGATTCCTGGCAGGCGTGAGGAGGAATGCCTCTGGCAGCCAGGGCACCCCAGGCTGCTGCTCCAGGTCTTCCTTGTCTGCCTCCCTGGGACATGGAGCCATTTCCAGGGACTCCCAGGGGTAAAGCAGTGCTGGTGGTGGTTACAGCCAGCTGCATGGATAAACCAGCTCTCAGTTCGTGCTGTGCAGTTGCTTTTTGAGTCACTGACTCTGAGCACAGGTGTGGGACGATCACTGACTCAAAACTCTCAAGCACTGACTCAAAACCCTTCTCTGCAGGCAGAGCAGCAGTTGGTTGATTGCGCCCAGGCCTTCAACAACCACGGCTGCAGTGGGTAAGTCACAGAGGGTCAGAAAGAGCAGAAATTGGAGAATCTTATATCCTGTGATGGACAGCCTTCCTCCAGATCTAGGGTCAGGCTCCTTCCACATTACGGAATGGCTTTTGTCTTCCCACAGCTGCAATGTGTCAGGGGAAGCAACTTTGGATTTGGTTGCTTGTTTTAATTTCACCCTCTGTAGAGGTTACGATGTTTCACTAAATCTCCAGCATTTCCCAACCTCTGCTGTTCCTCTTTTGTTGGTTTTTTATCTGAGGTTTTTTCACACAGCAGCTGTAGGCTGGGCTCTGATGGGCTCTGGGACAGCAAGGAGACTTCTGGCTGTTCTGCCCTGAGTCACGCGTGTCTCGTGGCACCCTGAAGAACCCACAGAAACTTTAACTTCCTCTTTGGGAAGTACCTCCTGGCCTTGCCAGAGAAGGCAGAGAGTAGAGCTCTCTGACTGCTTGTTTTCTGTGAGATAAGCTGCCCTGGAGGGACGCTCAGAGCTGAGCAAAGCCACTCTTGGTGCTTTTTATCTCTCTTGTGACTCCTCCTTGGGCGTTTCCACATCAGCACTTCTGATCATCTCTCTTTTCTTCCCTCCTGAGATGTGCTTCTGGAAGGTGGCCAGGGAAGGGAGCAGCTGCTTGCTGGAGCTGTGGGTGTCTCAATGTCCCCCAGCCAGGCTGGGCAGAGGGCACCAAAAAACACCTTTCATTTAGTATGTGAGGCTAGTGCTGTGTGGGCCAGCTGGTGGCACACCCTCAGGGCTCCTGGTGCTCTCCAGGGATCTGGCAGCTGGAGAATGACCATGCCAGGCAGCCCAGGCAGGGAGATGCTGCAGGCACGGACACTGCCCCTCCCTGGCTGGTGAGAGTGGGCTGCACAGTGGGGAATGTCGACGGCTTTGCTCTGCAGAGGCTGCAGCATTACTGAGTTCATCGTTACTAATTAGCTGTTAGCATCCTAACGGAGCTGTGTTGTCTCGCAGGGGCCTGCCCAGCCAAGCCTTCGAGTACATCCTGTACAACAAGGGGCTCATGGGGGAGGACAGCTACCCCTACCGGGCCAAGGTACTGCAGCACAGCCCCGGCCACCACCGTGGGGGCACAGCAGGGCTGGCACAGCCCCCACAGCGCCTCTCTGTCCCCACAGAACGGCACCTGCAAGTTCCAGCCCGAGAAAGCCATCGCCTTTGTCAAGGATGTGATCAATATCACACAGGTGAGGCCCCGAGGGCTGAGATTCCAGACTGCCAGGGCTGTGCCAAGGGGAGGTGCTGGGGTGCCCAAGGTGTGCTGGGCTCACAGCTGCAGCCTGTGTGCTCCTGGATGCAGTGAGCTGCTGGGCACACTCCTGCTGTCCTGCAGTTGTAGCCTGTGTGCTCCTGGGGAGAGAGAGCTGCTGGGCACACTCCTGCTGTCCTGCACACCTTTTGGAAGTGGCACCAAGGAGGTGCTGGTGCCAAAACGCAGGCCCTGGGTTCCTGCCTGCTTCCCTGGGGTGCCCCTCCAGGCTGGCACAGAGTCCCGGTTCTCCTGTTACAGCTCAGTGCTGGATTCCTTGTCCTGCAGGACAGCAGGGTTATCCATCCCCCGTGGCCTGGCCAGCACAGCCAGGAGATGATGAGGATGATGAGATGATGACCCGGATCCTCTCTTGCAGTATGACGAGGACGGCATGGTGGAAGCTGTGGGGAAGCACAACCCAGTGAGCTTTGCCTTTGAGGTGACGAGTGACTTCATGCACTACAGGAAAGGAGTGTATTCCAAGTGAGTGTGTGCCCCTCGTTTGGTGAGGTGAGGGCAAGGGGAGCAGGTAGGGCTGGAGTCACGTGCATCCCTGTTTATCCTGCTGCGTGCAGGAACACTGCACTGCGTTCCTGCGTTCTCACACTTCTTTTAAGTAGAAAATAGAAAAAAAAAGAGTAAACAGAGCCTTGATGTACTGGTTCCTGAGGGGATGAGGGTGCAGCACAGGGAGGAGGGCTGCAGGCTAGGAACCTGTCCAGCCTGGAGACCAGGTTGTGGTGGAATGAAGGTCAGTGAGTCAGGCAGCTCGGGGCACTCTGCAGCTCCCCGTGTGGCTGGGGCTGTCCCAGCAGGGGAAAGTGTGTGTTTGGAGAAACAGAAAAATATTTGGGAGTAATGAACCCTCGGTCATGCAGAACTGCAGCGAAAGTGCAAGGGAGAGGCTGAGGCTGGGGATCTGCACCAGGGAGCTCTCAGGAAGGAGCAGGTGGTGATTCCAGAGGCTTTGCTGGGCCAAGAGCCAGTGATGCCACAGGTCAGTGCCAGCCCTGGGCAGGTGTGAGCTGTGAGGGCAGGCACTTGGTCAGAGGAACACCCCAGCAGCAGTTATCCTGTGGATTTACAGTCTGAGGTGGATTTGAAGTCAGAGTGCATGGAATAATTGATGCTCCAGTGCTTTCAGCACAGAGCAGCTGTTAACAGATCAAAAAAAAAAGAAATTCTGAGGTGGATTATTGATCTTTTCCTGTGATGCAGTTTGAAAATGTTTAAAAATAGATGCTCTTGAGATAGGAGCATGTAGCATGAGCTGTCTTGTTTCACACCACAGGCAGCAGCTTTCAGCAAGTGCAGTTTAAAGGTTGAAAATTTAGAGGAAACACATATTTAGACCCAAGAACTCATCGTTCCTGTGCAAAACATGAAGCAGTGCCCTTGAATTTCAGGGCAGTACAAATGAGCACTGGGAGGCACTAAGAGCTGCTGGTTCCAGTTGGGAAAGTTCCTTTACCCTGTAGCTCATCTTGGTGGGCCAGGAGCTCAAAAGTGCATGGATCCCCTAACTCCACATATGGCTGGTAGTTTCAGAGTGGAGAAACAGAGCAGTGTCTCCTTTCTGTGCCTGCCCTCCCTCCTCTGCAGAGCTGGGAGTCAGAGCATCCCCAGCTGTGTTTGCAGTGTGGTCAGCACTGCTGCTTGAGCAGTCCCTGGCTAATTGCAGGCTGCTGCTCAGAGCACTCCGTGTTGTCTCCCTGCAGCCCCCGCTGCGAGCACACCCCTGACAAGGTGAACCACGCCGTGCTGGCTGTGGGCTACGGGGAGGAGGATGGCACTCCCTACTGGATCGTCAAGAACTCCTGGGGCCGCCTGTGGGGCATGCAGGGGTAAGGCTGCCTGGGGCTGCCCCCTCCACGCTGTGCCTGGGGCTGGGCACACACCCTGCCTGCGGGCTGGGCACAGATCCTCAGCCCTGCAGTGAGCTCTGGCAGCTGGGAGGGTGTGGGCAATGGTGCCAGGCTGGGCGGTGGCACGGCTCACCAAGCCTGGCCTGGGCTCCCTGCCCAGCACAGCCTTGGCCCAGTGGAGCTGCTGAGGTGCCCAGGGCACAGCCAGCCTGGCAGAGCT